TTCCTTGTGTATTTTATTTATTTCTTGATTTTTTTGTTTCCCATTTCACTATAAGCATTTGTCTTCAATTTTTTTAATTTTATTGATGTTAAATGTTAAGCATAAATTATCAAATGCATTGTTTATTTGTAAAGATGACTTTATTAGATATGTTAACTATGGAGATGGGAATGAGGACATAGTTGCTTCGGAGGTGTTGGTTTTTTATGTTGTTGGTCTGAGAGAAGCTTGGAGGCATTCAAAAGCTTATTTTTATACAAATAAGTTATTATCTCACAAGTTGAAAGATTTAATAGAGAAAGCCATTGATAAGTTACATAATGCTGGAGTTAGGGTAAGCAACATTTGTTTTTCTTAAAAATATGTTAAAATTTTTATACATTATATTTATTTTTTAAGGTTGTCTCATTGATAATGGATGGGTTGGCCACTAACGTTTCGGCATGTGGATTGCTTGGATGCTCTTTCACACTTCCAAACATGCAAACATGTTTCTTGTCCCCAACAACCGGCCATAAAATATATATCATATTTGATGCATGCCACATGCTGAAATTAATGAGGAATATGTTTCATTCTTATAATATAATATTTTATAAAAATAATCCAATCAAATGGAATCATATCGTAAACTTAGTTAATTATCAACAACAAATCAGAATGAAATTAGGAAATAAATTAACCAAAAATCATGTAAATTTTGAAAAGCATAAGATGAAAGTTAAATATGCATCTCAAGTCTTTAGTTGCTCTGTGGCTAAATCATTGGAACTCTTAAACGGATTTGATGATTTTTCTGACGTTTCTGAAAAAATAGCTTTTATGAAAACCATCAACGATCTTTTCGATATACTGAACAGCAAACTGATGCTAGATAGAGAATGGAAGCAATCCATTACAAAGAGCAACCTGACAGCCACTATAGATAAACTTTATGAAATGAAAGCCTATTTACTAAGTTTGAAAAATTTAGATGGTGTTAACATTTACAAAACTCAAAGGTTCTTTTTTTTTATATATATTTCAATATATTAACTAAAACTAGTTACAAATAATTTCAGAAAAATGTGCATAATGGGCTTTTGTACAACCATAAATTCAATAATTGATATTTCGAAAGAGTTGTTGAATGAACAACCTTTCGTCCTGACTTACCGTTTCAGTCAGGATGCACTGGAACTTTATTTCAACTAATGTAAGAAGATCAGGTGTTAAGTTTTTCTGACTTGAGTCATAATAAAGAAATAACATAAAAAATTAATTAATTAATAAATTCATAATTAATTAATACAGGTGGATGCTGCAGTCGCATAAATTGCCAACAATTCAGCGACATTTATAAAAAGATTTGCTGCAAATTTCTAACAGTTATACCAAGTAATTTTGACACGAAAATTATAAACTGAATAGATTTAAAGCTACTCTGCAATTCACAGGTAACACAGGAAATGTGTCATCATTTGAAACAGAAGAACTGCTTAGTAACATTATTTTTGGGACAGATTTTGATGACAACGTATTTGTGGAGCATGCGTCACTGCAGTATATTGTCAGAAATTGCACTGCATACATGGCAGGATGGGTGGTGAGTCAATAACACCGACCATCTCATGCGCAGAATGCAGGTTCTTTTTACCTCTAATGTAAACCTCTCCAAAATTCATTCAAAATTTTGCATTAATATGCTGTTACAAATCCCAACAAATATGCAGAAAATGCTTGATTTCAGCCAGCAGAAACATATTTAGCGAATCATCAAATCATCTCATCATACTAAAAGACAATGGGCAATTGACATATCCCTCAAAAGGAGTATTAAAAGTAAAATGATACATTTATTTATTTTCTGGTAAAAGCAATAAATTTTAATGATTTTCAGATCTGCCAAGAATCAGAAAGATTATTAAAAATAAATAATTATTGTTTTAAGAAAAAACTTGTAACTGAAAGCAACATATTCCCACAATGTGTCAACGAAGATTTATTTAACATGGAAAATCATTTCAATGATGTACAGAACGCAAACCACTATTATGAATTAATAAAAAAAATAATAACATCATATACAACATTAAGACTTTAACTTAACTAAAGAGTTTTCTATCAACATGCAGTTGTAATAAAAGTAAATTAAATAATAAACTGCAGCAAAAATTATACAATTTAAATTTATTAAATCAATTGTTTTATTGAATTTGTACAGTGCTTCTAATGGACTACATCAGAAGCAAATTCTACAACCTTTGTTTTTATCTTTTATGCATGTACATATATATATATATATATATATATATATATATATATATATATATATATATATATATATATATATATATATGTGTGTGTGTGTGTGTGTGTGTGTTTCACTTTTTAAAATAGTTGAAAGATAAATTTATAATTATGTAAATCAAACATTTTGCAGTTATACAACAAATAAACAAAACCAAAATCCAGAAATAAAAAAGGTAAGACTGATCTAACTTTACTCATCACTAATTATAGCAAGACAGACGTTTTATAATCAACAAACAAGAAATATAACAATTTACACATAAATATAATAATATACATTCTCATGATCTAGCACCTTCAGGGTTATTTTATAAATAGTAATGTTAAACTAAAAATTATTAAACATACCTATTCTATTAAAAATCAACAGTTGATCGTTTTAAATTAATAGCATAATGAATTTGATGTTAACTTAAAGAAACTATTATTATTTATTTATTATATTAATAATGTCAATTACAGTTGAAATAGTTAAAGAATTTGATTTTAACTTGAATTATTATATAATTTATTTAATATATATAAATATAATATTATAAAATAAATTATAATATATAATAAAATATAATATATTAATAAATAATATAAAATTATAAATCATAACATTTAAACAGAAAAAAATTATAATAATTATAAATTATAATATATAATAAAATATAATATATTAATAAATAATATAAAAGTATAAATCATAACATTTAAACAGAAAAAAAATTGTTTGCTTTTACTACCAAAATAAATTTTAAAAACTTCCTCTGTGTGATTAAATTTGGTATGGATATGTGATGTTGAAAGTAATTATTCCTTTGAATTGTAAGCTTTGGAGTGTTGAAAGATTCTAGTTTAGGACATATGCACATGAATTACATCTTAATTTAAAAATTATTAGTTGATTAATTTATTTATAACAATATTATAAATTGATTATGAGTTATATTTTTAAATATTAATAACATTTCATTTTTAGTTTTTACAATAAAATTTTTACTGACTTTTTTTCGTTTTCTAGATTCTAATTTAATTTAGGAATGATTCTTACTCTAATGAAATGATATGAAGTCCATCATCATCGTGATTCGTGGGTGCTGGGAGAATGAATGAAGAAATCTTTATTTCAGAAAAATGATGATCGCTAACGAACTTATTATAAATCTTCGACGATTAAATACGGTGGTTATATAAACCTTATAAATTAACCTAAAACTTCACGGAATGTTGAAAACGAAATAAACAAACGAGCTGAATGCAGATCGGCAGAGTCATTAACATAACTTCGGGAAGGCCCAAAATTTTTCTAATTATATCTCAGATTTTTCTAAAAATAAGCCAAAATGCTCATGAATAATTAATTTTTTCGGAACTTGCTTCCCGAGGTAACTTGCCCGTTGAAAAAAATTTTCAATGTTAAAACGCTGGTCGGGCGCTTCCAGTTATATAATTCCATGGTGGTGATAATGATGATATCCGTCTTATATGAACACTGGCGGATCTAGACAACTTTGACGGAGGGCTAAAATTTTGAAAATGTTTAAATTCTGACAAGGGAATCAAAATTTTGACAGGGTTTGCCACGTTTTTCTTCATTTCAATCGGTCGTTCACCGATCATTCGTAGCACAAAGATAGCGTTTTCTGTGCCACAATCCTCAACTGAACCACCTTAGACATTTTAAATTTAAAATCTGATTGAAATCAAATAAAGCGCCAGGTCCAGACGAGATAATTGTTGTAGAAATTAAATGGCTTGATGAATTTGGCATTGAAAAAGTGACAGAAATTTTGAATGAGATTGCTACGAGTGATCAGTGAACGGGCGATTGAAACGAAAAAAGACTTGTTTATATGGTTTGTCGATTACTCTAAAGTTTTTGATAGTGTGGAACAAGAGGAGCTTATGGATACATTGGAAAATTTGGACATTGATGAATTATAAAATAATATATTCACAAAAGATATTTTAAATCAAACAATTCATATGTATATATATATATATATATATATATATATATATATATATATATATATTATTTATTTCTTCAAAGACACAAAAAGTAAACAGAAAGATACTTGTAATAGTGCCTTAACTAAAAATTGTCAAAAATATTTCGATGAGATAACTAAAATGACCAAAATTTTGCAAGACACATTGCATAGTTACACATAAATATATATAAAACATTATTCTAAGTTATGATGGTAAATGACAATTCCACATTTTTAGTATTTCGCTAATTTTTAGTAATATTTCTGGTTTTTAAGGTTTTTGTTGCAATAATTTCGGTTTTTCTGGTGTAGTTTTTATGGGTTGTCGCTTTTTTTGCCCTTTTTCGGATTAGTGTCCCGCCGTTCGGTTGGTTTTTTAACTTTTGTGGTCTCAAATTTTTAATTTTAGTTTTACCATACTTTTAACAACAGCTGTGGGCTTTTACCCAGCTGCACCGTACAATGCTCATTAATATTTATTTTTGTTTTCTCTGTTTCATTCCTAGTTTTTCTTTTAATTTTTAAATTTATTTAAATTAATCTTTTTTTATTTTCGCCAAAATTTTATTTTATCACTTTTCACACGGTTTTATCTACTCGCTTTTGATTTTATTTCGTTGACGTAATGGCACCGGTCCTATACCAATGCACGGTTTGTTTAAATCATTATAAAATAAAACCGGACGGTAAACTATATCGACATGGAGGCAAAAATGAGGGCCAGGAATGCCCTGGTTCGTTCAAGGCGGCCGACCAGCCTCCGGCTGGTTCATCTGCTTCCGCGCGACCGCCTCTAACCGCTGCACCTGTCATCAACCCTCATGTTGCTACACGCGGTTCTCGGCGTCGGTCTCGGAGAGTCCCTCCCAAGTAGATTCTTTTCATGTTTTTGACAGGCTGACGGTCGTTTTGAGGACTGCCCATCTGTATGATCACGTTCCCAAACCGTGCAGAGACAAGGTATCTAAAGCATTGTCGGCTTTATTGACGGCCGTTTGCGATGATCCCTGCGACGCGGCCCATTGGTGCAGGCTCCAATGTTTTTTCGCATTTGTTTTGTTCAAGCCCACCAGGGGCGGTCGCAGGACTAATCAAGCCAATTACGTTATTAAACGGTTGGCCGAATTCAGTTCGACCGAGGTCGAGATTATTGTGGCAAGCTTCAACACTGACCACAACACCAAACCGCGTAAGCACAATCCAAACAGTTGGATTAGTGCAGTAACTACTCGGATTGAACAGGGCAGTCTCTCGGCGGCCGTCAGACTTGCTTGTTCGCCCGCGGGCCTGGCGGAGAGCTCGCCTGAGACACTCGCTAAACTCAAGGCTATTCATCCCAGTGCTCCATTGAACAGGCGAGCTTTTCCCGCGCAGGAGCCGTCTAATGGTCGCGTTTCACCAGCCCAGGTGTTGACGGCTTTAAAGTTGTTTAACAATGGTTCATCGGGAGGCCTTGATGGCTTGAGGCCTCAGCACATAAAGGATTTACTTTCCGGTCCGATGCCCACCGATGAATTGTTAAATAACCTCACCCGGTTTGTAAATTTGTTGTTATCTGGGGTCTGCCCTCCCGCGGTTAGCCGTTTCTTTTTTGGGGGCCGTCTGGTGGCTTTAAACAAAAAAGATGGAGGGATCAGACCCATCACGGTGGGAAATTTCTGGAGGAGGCTGACCAGTAAGTGCGCTAAGTACAGTAAGTGTTAGAACAGGTCAAAGCCAAACTCTATCCTATCCAATTGGGCGTCGGCGTGAGGGGTGGTGCTGAGGCGGCCGTCCACGCGTACGTGAACTGATTTCAGTACTTCCAAAACGGTGGGGATTCTTGAAGATTGATTTCAAGAACGCTTTCAACACCCTGAGAAGAGACTCAATGTTAGAGGCAGTTAAGCAGCACTGTCCTCAAATTTATAATTTTTGTCATTCCGCATATGGCCGAGTCTCTTCTCTTGGTTACGACGCCTGGGTGGTTGAATCGTGCGAGGGCGTACAGCAAGGCGACCCTTTGGGACCGATGCTTTTTGCTCTAACCCTTCACCCACTGTTGACGAAGTCATCTTCGGCGTTTGTTTGTGGCTACCTGGACAATGTCAGCATGGCCGCAGAGGGTAACATCTTAGCGGACGACTTCCTGTCGCTGAGGGTCGGCGCTTCCATCATTGGTCTCGAATTAAACACAAACAAGTGTGAACTACTCGTAAATGACACGTTTCAAATGCCACACGTGCTGGCTAATGTCCCCACAGTGCCCCATTCATCATTAAATTTTTTAGGCACTCCAATGATGGCCGGCGATCATCAGGACAGGTTTTTTAATAAAAAACTTTTTGAGCTAAGGTACCTTGATTCCTTGGAGAGCCGGCAGGTGCTTGGCGTGGGACGTTACCGTTCCGGGCACCTTTGCTGAGCGCTACGTGCAGCTTACTAGCAGAGAAAACGGTTTGGCTGCAACCAGGGCATCTGACGAGAAGATCAAGAAGTACGACGGAGCTCTCCCGTCAATGGAGTTTTTACCGATTTGTATCGAGGTGGACCCCATGGACCGTAACACCTCCGGGTTTTACATACATACATACATACATACATACATACATACATACATACATACATACATACATACATACATACATACATACATACATACATACATACATACATACATACATACATACATACATACATACATATGGAATACATCGTCGCGTTCGACGAATTGTGTCATTGATGAGTCCTTTGATGCGAGAACAAGCCTATTCTTGATGAACATCGACGACCACAGGATCCGCAAACCCACACCCCTGTGCTGTCACCATCCCGGGCCACCTGCTTACGCCGTCCTCTTTTTCCAACTAGAGCTGCAATGCGCGCCTCCTCAAAGGCGGAGACTGCCGCTTGTGAGCGTGTCTTCCACTGTGAACGCTCGAGCGCAACGACACCCAAGGTTTTAAAATCCAGACTTTTTTTAGGTTATCCTTCAGATTATTTTTAAATCTGCAAACTGGACCGCTTGCAAGACGAACTCCAGAAGCCAGCTGTCCGAAAAACACCTGTTTGGGAATTTTTGTGTCCGGCATGCGGATAACGTGTCCCGCCCAACGAAACTGTGCCTGTAACAAAAATGCCTCGATACCCAAGATACCACACATTTCCAATACAGTCGTATTTGGCACCCTATCCTCCCATTTAACGTTAGCGATAACCCGTAGACATCTCATATGAAACTGATCGAGTCTACGTATATGGCGCCTATAAGTAATCCATGTCTCACATCCATACAACATTGTGGTTAACACAACTGCCTTATAGACAGATATTTTAGTAGCCAGCGACACACCCCGTTCCTTCCAGAGTCGTCCACTCAAACCACCAAAAGCAGCACCAGCCTTGGCAATCCTAACCGTAATTTCATCATCGATTGCAGTAGTGTTGGAGAGGTAGCTACCAAGGTAGCAAAATCGATCCACAGCGTTCAACTGCGAGCCACCAATAGTTACGATGGTTTTAGAATCCGGCGAAATAGGATAGCTTTGGTGCAGAACCTCTGTTTTCTTCCTGCTCACCGTGAGTCCAAACCTTTCTGCAGTAGTGTGGAAACAGTTGAACAGAGCCTGAACTTCACTTTGTGTATGTGCAACCAAAGCGCAGTCATCCGCAAAGAGCAGGTCGCGGACTATTATGGTTTGTGTTTTTGACTTCGCTTGTAGGCGTCTGATGTTGTAAACGTCTCCATCCATGCAATAGCAGATTGGAATGCCCTCTACACAATGTTGAAGGGCGACTCGAAGCATTAGGGAGAAGTAAATGTTGAACAGCAAGGGAGCCATGACACACCCCTGCTTGGTACCATTCGTCATCTCAAAGTCCGGGGATCGATCACCATTTTCAACTACGGTTGCCCTCATGCCTTCATGGAAGGAGCGAAAAATCGACACTAAAATCGGAGGACAACCGATCTTTTTGAGACATTTCCATAACGCTGAACGGTTGACGGAATCGAACGCCTTTGTTAAATCTATGAAGACGAAGAAAAGTTCGCATTGTTGCTCACGACATTTTTCTTGAAGTTGTCTGGCAGTAAAAATCATATCCATAGTACCACGACCAGCCCGAAAGCCACACTGACCCTCTGGAAGGATACCAACATCATTGACGTACTTGGTTAGGCGGTTGACGATCACGCGGGCCAATATTTTTCCAGGAATCGATAGCAGAGAAATGCCTCTGTGATCATCACAGCATGAACGATTCCCTTTCCGTTTGAATATGTGAATGATAAGGGCATCCTTAAAATCTTGAGGAACCGATTTCCTATCCCACATGTCTTGGAACATTGTCACCATCCTGGTTTTAAGTTTGATGACACCATATTTGAAGAGTTCTGCCGGCAGCCCGTCCAAACCCGGAGCTTTTCCATTCGACATTTGGGTGATTGCTTTTTCCACTTCATACAGGCTAGGGGGATCATCGAAATTACCTGCAATGCTCCAGTCAGGCAACTCAGCAAGGACTGAGTCATCAAACCGGGATTCTTGATTTAGCACACTGTTGAAGTGTTCAGCCCAACAAGCCAGGATTCCATGGCCATCCTTGATGAGTGTTTGACCATCTTTCGACAGTACCGGGACACTACCGGAGCTGCGGGGACCAAACACAGTTTCCAGATTTCTGTAAAATGATTTCATGTCCCCGTGGCCGGCCGCTACTTGCAATTCATCAGCTCTGGCAGACCACCAAGATTCCTTCATCTGACGAAGCCTCCTCTGTGCAAAACTGCGTGCTTGCGTGTAGCATGTTTTCTTGACGCGGTTGCCCCTGTCATATATCCAAGAACGATGGGTGCTGTGCATGTTGTCCAGCAGCCCACGTGCCTCCGTATCCTGATCGTCGAACCAGTCCTATGCTTAATACGCTGATATCCAAGCACATTAACCGCAGCTTTCTCTACAATCTGCTTGAAATTTGGCTATTCTGTGCTCTCATTTGTTGAAAACTCACCACGCAATGCTACGCGGAACAAATTTCTAGCTGACGGTTCTGTTAGCCGAGTCACATCCAGTTTAGCTTTCCTTACAGTTTTGTGATGCCTTCTGACTGGTTTAACAATAAGAATCACTGACATCTTGATGAGACGATGATCTGACCACATTGTTGATGCTCGCACCGCTTTAGTTAGACGAGCGAGACGAAGATCGCGTTGTCTGATAAGTATGTAGTCGATGAGATGCTAGTGTCTTGAACGTGGATGTTTCCAGCTAGTCTTCTTCCTGTCAGCCTGTTGGAAGACTGTATTTGTCACCACAAGATTGTGCTCTGTACAAAATTCGAGGAGCATGGTTCTATTTGAATTTTCCCTACCAACTCCATTTCGTCCAAGCACTTTTGGCCACAAGATGTGGTCTTAACCCACACGGGCGTTATAGTCACCCAAGACAAACAACTGATGGTTGTGTGGTATTGAACGAACAGCGTCACCGAGCTGCCCATAAAACAAGCTCTTCTCCTCAAAAGTTGCTCCAAGCGTTGGCGCATAGCAGCTGATCAAAGTAGCAGTGTGACCACCCTCCAGGTTGAGCAGCATCCTCATTAGGCGTGGTGAAATACCATAAGGTACCTCATGTACAGATTTCAGGAGTGTGCTACGAATGGCAAAACCCACTCCACCAGTACGCACCTCACCTGCAGGATGACCTTGGCAAAAGAAGGTGTAACCAGCACCTCTCTCCTCAAACTGTGTTGCTGCAGAGATTCTTGTCTCGCTGAGCGCAGCAACATCGATGTCATAACGCGCAAGTTCACGCGCAACAATGGCTGATTGACGTTCATGACACTTCCCAAGATCCAACATTGTCCGGACGTTTCATGAAGCCAAATTTAAAACTTTTCTTTTTTTTTGACCGCATAGTAGGATATCCAGTCAGCCGCGGTAGGCTGACAAGTTCGGCAACATATTGGCTAGCTTTTTTTAGGACAGATTTTTTAGTCCCCTCTCCGGTTGGAAAAAGCAGTGCATCCCTGAATAGGGCTGCTTTGTCACCCTGGCAGGATACGAAAATTGCTGTAGCCATCAGCAACAAACGACCATCACACCAAGGCCGCCTGTGTGTTGTGTTGTGACTAGACACTGCCAGTAGTACCCTCTACCTGTGCCCGTCGCCACTCGCCAATCGCCGCAGGACTTTGTTTGCACATCCATTCAAGCATCAGACCACCAAGACCACCTTCACACTGGTTGATTTAAGTGGAGCATGTTTGTGCGGCATGCTACTCTCTCTCCTCCACAGGGGTCGGTATCAGCAGACACAACGAGTTGAGACACACCAGTGTGGACGCAGAAGTTTGGATGAAACTGCGGTGCAGTTTTATCCTCGTAGCCAACTATCCTGGCTAAATTTTTAACTGGGTTTACTTCCAGGCCTTTCCCAAGCGTGGGTATAGCCGCAAGGCTGCGGAGGTTTGAAATCAGAGCTTTCCTTCTCCTAGATGGTATTTCCTTACGAGCGCCATCCACCCGGAACCTGGTTTAAGCGCCAGTAACTCGCCTTCGCCCTCTCTTGTTAGTTAGTAGCAGCCCCCGCCACGTGCAGGAAGGAGTAGGACTTCGATGGCAAAAAAATGATGACAATAGGTGTTAGGGTTAGGGTTACTATGGTCGTAGCGCGCACGCTACAAGCCTTTGGTGGCATTTTGTAGCAGATCACCACCGGCAAACCATCGCGTTTGGGTGCCAACATACATACATACATACATACATACATACATACATACATACATACATACATACATACATACATACATACATACATACATACATACATACATACATACATACATACATACAGACATACATACATACGTGCATACATACATACATACATATATATTGTTTATTTTCTTCAAAGATACAAAATAAACAGAAAAAACTCGTAATAGTTTATTAACTAAAAATGTTTTACAATGATTCAATGAGAAAACAACAATGATCAAACTTTTGCAGAAGTATACAAACACATTTTCTCTCACATATAAGCACCATCTGCACAGTTACAAAAATATGAACAACATTTTTCTAAGATATGGACGTAGATGGCAAATTGATGAAAAATATGCATACGAAACGGTAAATAGTCAGAGTAACGAAAAATGCCCGTTAGGATAGTCCGTTAGCACAAGGATTCATGGAGGTTTATAAGTACAAGCAAAAATTTTGAGATTTTTTTTTGAGATTTTTTTTAATGATGCCAGATTATCGATGTTTTTAATGTTGAAGGGAATCACACTGTTCCATAATTTAGGAGCTGTATGAGATATACAATTGTTGCCCAAATTTAATCTAGATGTTTTTATATAGAAAGTATCATTTTGCCTTGTAATAATTGATTTATATGGATTTGAATAATGGAAGAATTCTGAATAATATGGAGGTAAAAGATTTCTTAAAAATTTAAAAGTAAATAATGTTTGAAAAAAGAAATTAATTTGATAAATTGATAGAATTTTAGTCTTAGCAAGAAGTTCTTTGGTATGATCGGTTTGTTTTAAATTAAATATAATCTTAATAAAGCGTTTTTGACAAACAAATAAGAGCTTTAGTAAATATTCAGGACCATTTCCCCAGATTATATTACAATAAATTAGATGAGGAAAAATAAAACTATAGTATAGATTAATTTTGCTAACGAAATTAAATTTATGTTTTAATTTATTTAAAATACGTAAAAAACTGTGATTTTTTTTTCTAATTTCCAAAATATGTAACGACCATGGCAGATTACTTTTGATATATACACCTAAAAATTTAATTGGGCTACATTTTCTAAGAATATTATTATTTAACTTAGAAGAAAAGTCTTGAATATTATTGGTAAGTATTGTAGTACCAAAAATTGTATAGCATGATTTATCAGTGTTGATGATTAGCTTGTTGGCCGAAAACCAAGCCTCAACTCTCTTGAGATCGATATTAATTAGCGATAAATCATCAATTAGTGATTTCGAACTGTAGAAAATATTTGTGTCGTCAGCAGCGAACATAATACATTTAAATAGTGTAGTCACATTAGGGAAATCGTTGATGAAAATTGTGAAAAGAAGAGGGCCCAAAATTGAGCCCTGTGGGACCCCATATTTAACATGCAAAATATTAGAACTTTTGCAATCTATCGACACAAATTGTTTTCTGTTAGACAGGTAACTAGTGAGCCAAGAAAGGATTTTACCACGAAATCCATAGAGTTCGAGTTTGTGTAAAAGTAAATTGTGATCAATAATATCAAAAGCTTTCGCGAGGTTTATAAAAATCCCAAGTGTAGGATGTTTATCATTTAAGTTATTAATAATTCTATGATATAGTTCTAAAATAGCTAACTCCGTTGAGTGCTTTGGTCTAAATCCATATTGGTTATTAGACAATAATTTATATTTATCTATAAATGATTTCATTTTGTTGGCAACTAATTTTTCAAGTACCTTTGACAAAGGGGAAAGCAAAGAAATGGGTCTATAGTTGCCAGGATCCTCTCTGTTGCCTTTCTTAAAAATAGGTAAAACTTTCGCCATTTTGAACGCATCTGGAAATTTCCCGCTCTGCAAGGATAAGTTACAGATGTGCACAAAAGGGAAAACAATTTCCTTAACAAATAGCTTTATCATAAAGATATTAAGACCATCATATGAACAAGATTTGTTTGGCTTGAATTTATCGATTATGTGGACAATCTACGACGGTTCAATATCGTCCAGAAAAAAATGAGTATTTGTTTGATTTAATTATGATTTAACGCATTACAAATGCTAGTTGTTTCTTTTAGAATAACATTGTTATATTTTAATTGATTAATACTGTTGGTGGGTCTTGTCTTGTTTATGATTTCATTTATGACTCTCCTATTATTTTTTATTATTATTTGCAAATAAATTGTTGTAAAAGGCTTTTTCTTTATTTCTTTTATAATTTGTGAACAAATTTCGAAAACTTTTATAAGTACTCAAGTTTGTTGCGTTAGGGTATACAATAGAATGTTTATAAAGTTTATAATTAATCTTTGAAAGCCTTATTACATCATTTGTAACCAAAGATTTTTTGCATTTAGATGTGTTAATTGATTTCAAGGGAGCGTGCTTGACTAGAATGTCAAAAAAGATTCTGAAAAACTGTTCATAACTAGAATCAACCTCGGTTTCATCAACAACAGGCTGCCAAGATACCGATCTAAGATCACTTTTGATTTTTTCCACTGTTGAATTGGAAAAATTTCTTTGTAAAGAAAATTTTTAGCTTTACCTGTCTCTGAGAAGGTAAAAACTTTTGAAATTGAAAAAATTGGATAATGATCAGACAGATCGTGGATAACTACTCCAGAAGAATGAGTAGAGACAATATTCGTTAAAATATTATCAAGAAGAGAAACTGAATGAGAGCTAACTCTGGTTGGCCGATTGATGAGTGGACTAAAATTATATGAAAAGAAGAGTTGTTCAAAGTCCAACTTGTCTTTATTATCAAGATCCAAATTAATATTAAAATCGCCAATTATATGTTGACATGTTTGAGTCAGTTTGTTTCTTCAAAATCGATCATAAATTTGGAAATATCACTATTTGGTGGTCGATATAAAACTATAACTCTGATAGATTTAAATTGAGTCAACTCAGACTGCATAACTGGATCAATCAATGTCGCCGATATTGATTCTATATATTGATTATTAATATCATCCTTATTTAATTTGTAATTAATAGTATAGTTAATAGATCTTTAATAAACAATCCTACACACCCGCCCCTCTTAGAGTCTCTCACATGACCCTCGAAATTATAACCATCCAATCGGGCGAGAGGTTTTGTCTGTGAAGTAAGCCAGGTTTCAGAAATGTCGACGATAGAAAATTTGAAATTGAAAGAAGTTAGAAATATACTTAAATCATCAATTTTTTTCAGCAAACTCTTGGAGTTTATATGCAAGATTGAGAAATTATTGCTAGTTAAATTATCTGTATTAAAAGGATTGTTTATTGGTTCAGTTGTGTAGTAATAATTACATTCATTATTGACAAAAAATAATGAAAATTATTAAAGTTGACCATGGATAAAATGTTATAATAGAATGAGCTACGAAATTATTGACTTAATACAAAAGCTAGTAGAGTAGAACTATTATATATATATATATATATATATATATATATATATATATATATATATATATATATATATATATATATATATAAGAAATAGCAAGCGATTAGAAGAACTATAAATTAAAAATTATCAACAACAAAATTTGTGCAATTAAGACACTTGAAACAGCGTAAAGAGTGTATATAATGTATAGAGACTGAACGTTTGTGAAACAGCAGGATAGAATGCAAAATTTGTGCAATTCAATACTTAATACAACGTAAAGAGTGTATATAAAGTATAAACGACGTGTACGTGGAACTTTGCATTTTAGTAATTATTGTTTTAATTTGGAATTAAAACGTTTGGTAGTAGGTTTGGCGGTAGGACGTTGTCAGTCAAAAGTCTAACTGGAACGTCGTTAATAGGAATAATAATGGTAATTGGTGGCAGGTAGCAGTAGCGGAGTCAACAACAGCTCCAACACAACAGCGTCGTGGTAACAACCACCACAACTACAACAACTACAACAACCAGTTATTTCAACAACAGCTCCAACACAATAGTGTCGTAGTTTCAGTTATTTCAACAACAACTCCAACCCAACAGCGTCAGGGTAACATCCACCACAACTACAACAACCCTTATCCAGCAACGTCGTGGCGTCAGTTATTCCAACAACAACACTCGCACAACAACGTGACAGTCTATACCGTAGTAATAAAGCACGTTTGTCACCCCAAACGACAACACACACATTAACTTAATAATTGAACAATATTTTGTTAATTTGTATTCTATTTCGATTTATTTGAATATCAATAAAGCTTATTTTCTGTTTCTACACATCAAATTTCAAGTCTTTTGATAGAAGCCGTAAAGAACCTGTTACATTTGGTGGCAGCGGTGGGATTCACACTAAAAGAAAGAATAGTGTGAATCTGCGCAGGAGCAAAGTGAGTGAGATGGCTCACAATTTAAGGTCCAAGGACAAGGGCACGAAGGACGGTGAGGAGGAGGAGACGTTGGATCCTGTGCGGGCCACACAGATCCGGATCATGTTAGAAGCAGCTGAAGATGAGAGGAGAATAAGACGTGAAGCAGCTAAAAGGGAGGAGCAACGCGCAGAAAGGGAGGAGCAACGCGCAGATGAGGATAGAAGGCTACGGAGGGAAGCTGACATACAGTTAAAAATTAATAATCGTAATAGTCAACAGGAAGACCGGGTTAACATGGGCAACAGATTTGGCCCCATGTTAGGAAGATGCCCAACTGACCCTCGGGAGATCTCCGCATATTTTCAACGGATTGAAGGCATATTTGAAAGTTATAGAATCAGTGATGAGGCCAAGGCTGAACTGTTGTTGTCCAGACTGGAGCCGAAGATGAAAACTATATTGAATGAACTTCGGACCGAAGATTATACAAATTATGAAGCTATAAAGCAGCAAATCATTCGCTCTTGCCGATTTTGCCCGAAGAAGCTCCGGGATGCATTCTTTTCAACCTATAAGGCAAAGGAGGAAACATACCCAGCATTTGTTGCACAATTGTATCGCCATCTCAAATTCTATTTCCAGAGTCGGAAAATTGAAACCCTTGAACAAGCCATGTCCTTGTGGGTTGTGGACCGTTTAAAGGAGGTAATACCAAAAAATTTGGTAGAGTACATACTGGCTCAGGAGGGTGACGAGTGGTTACCACATGATAAAGTAGCAAACCTGTTGGAGACTTATGAAGCGAATATGAATATGAGGGGATCGACCAACTCTGTTTCTAGTTTCCGAACACAGTCTGGTCATGCTCATTTAGGAAGTGACCGTAAAGGGTTTGTAAAGGATGAGAGGAGGGGTCCATCGATGAAGCCAAATTGTTTTACCTGTAGTAGTACTGGTCATCTGGCCAAACATTGCACAAAAAAGTCTAACTATACGACACCGGCCAAGAAGGTGATGAATTGTCAGATTACCCCCAGAATGCACAGCAAACAGTTCGGGTTGACAGAGGCCATGCGAGTAGAGAAATATTTTGAGAGGCCATATGTCAAGGTAAAAATTCAACCCGGTCCAGTGTGCGAGGCTTTGGTGGACAGCGGTGCTGAGGTATGTGGGATTTCACAGGAGTTATGCCAGGAGTTGAATCTACCCAGTTTGGGAACTGAAAGGATCAAGGGATGGAGTGGACAGGTGGCTGAGGTGGATGCCACATGGGTAACGTTGACTCAGGGGGACAAGGCTGCTACCCCTGGCGTCCGGGTGTGGTGTGCCGTGGTGCCAAATGCTAGTGAACCACTAATTATTAATCCAGGAGTGGTAGAACAGTTAAAGTTGGTAACGCCTTATGTAGTACCTGCTGCAGAGGTATTATCTGCCAGTGGTTCATTGGTCAATTTAGGGACCTTTTACAATGTTGACGCCCCCCATGGGCAGTGTCAAGAGAGATACGATAAAATTCAGAATCGTGACGTTGATGATGAGAAAGATGATGAAGTTTGTGAAGTTAATAATCGTATAATAGATGGCAGCATAATTACAAATAAAATTCAGAATCGTGACGTTGATGATGAGAAAGATGATGAAGTTTGTGAATTTAATAATTGTAAAATAGATGGCAGTGTAGTTGTAGATGGAGTTCCTAATCGAGATGTTGATGAGGAGAAAGACGATGAAGGTAGTGAAAAGAGTTGCAAGGTTATGATCAAGGATGCAGGTAGAGCTGATATTAGTCAGGAGAAGAAGGATTCCGCAGTGAATAAAATTAATAAATATAAATTTGAACTTGGTGAAGTTGGTAGTTCCGGTATTGGGCTTGTGGACAGATCAAATGTTGTCGGTCTGGATGTAAACTATGTTGTGAGAGTGGCTGAAATGACAATCGACGGGGTGGATGAAACTAATAAGGTTTTGACAAAATCAAGGAAAGATGTTAGAGAATCACCACGAAATTTGGATGGAATTTGTAATAGCGAGAAGCAAAAGGTTGTTGAACATTTGGACGATGTTGATGAGGAGGAAACCGATGGTCAGTTCAACCGTGGAAAAAAGAAGAAGGCAGACGAACATAAACTCGACTTAGACGAGGCAGAGGAACACGTCGATGATGTGGGGGGAGGATGTGTGACTGAGAAGAAGAAATTTTGCCAAGAACAACACCAATGTCAAACGCTTACGAGGTGTTGGGAATGGGCAAAGACAAGAAAAAAGAATTTCTTGTTTGAAGATGAGGTCTTGTACCACCGGGATAGGGTATTGGGTCACCAGGTGAAGCAATTGTGTTTGCCGGCAAATAGGATTCAGACGGTGATGGAGATGGGGCACGACAAACCTTTTTCAGGTCATTTGGCCGCGGATTCGACCAGACAACGGATAGCACTTAGTTTCTGGTTTCCAAATATGTCCGAACAGGTCTTAAAGTACTGCCAGTCATGTCGAATATGTCAATTGAGAGCACCTGTCAGGATATCCGAGAGGACGCCCATAACGCCGATTCCCAGAAAAGATGAGGTACCATTTTCGCACTTGGTCATGGATTGTATCGGACCTATGGTGGTGGTGGAAACAGGACCAAAGCCAAAATATAACTATGCTTTGGTTGTGATTGATTTATTTACTAGATGGCCCATGGCCTATCCGATGCAGCATGTGGATGCTAAGTCTACATGTGAGGTCCTGTTACAGATTTTCATGACCTATTCTGTACCAAAGGTGATTAGTTCAGACCAGGGTACTAATTTTACCAGTAAACTCACTCAGGCACTACTTAGTAACTTGGGATGCAGTCCTCGCTTTAATACTCCAGGTCATCCGGAAGCCTCAGGGGTGGTGGAAAGGTGCAATCAAACACTAAAAAGCATGATATACAAGTTGGCACAGGAACATCCACGAAGTTGGCATCGCATTTTGCCGTTTGTGTTGTGGACCCTCCGGGAGAAGCCATCGGCTACCACTCATGTCAGCCCGTTCACTATGTTGTACGGTACATTACCCAGAGGTCCACTATCCATACTGAAGGAATCTTGGGTGGGTGAACAATGCTTGCCTTTGAATCTCGGGAAACGGCCTGAGGAGTACCTCAAAGAGTTAAGGCGGAATCTAGAGGTGGCGCACGAATATGCTGAAGAACATGCTCTTAAGGAACAACAAAGGTACACCCATTATTATAATTTGCGCAGTACAACACGTGAATTCCATTTAGGAGATGCAGTTATAATACTAATCCCCGCAACATGGAGGAACAAATGGTGCAATAAATGGCAGGGGCCAGGTACTATTGTAAAAGTCAAATCACCACATTCCTATGTAGTAGAGTTGGAGGGACAAAAGCACCACGTACATGTCAACCATATAAGAAATATCACCAGAGA